AAAATTTGACTCCCATGAAGCTAAATGAAGCCAGTTTTGACTCCCAGACACGCACTTCCACGCGTGTTTCTACTGCGCGATTTACTCGCGAGACAATGCAGGGGACGCTCGAAGCATGCCGTTTTGAACGTTTTCATGGCAGGATGCAAATCGAAAGGGAAACGGGCCTTTTCAGTTTAAAACGGGCCTTTTAAAGCCTGTGTACGACCTTGTAGAATTTAGCTTCAAATTTCCGCTTGAACGTAGCGTTCCAGTTATTTTTAGTTCAATGGAAGCCACTGACTCGACTCGACTCGATCAAAAACTGAAATGACTCGACCCGACTCGTGACTCGACCTTTGAGTGACTCGACTCGTGACTCGACCTATAGGTGACTCGTTACAACACTGTTGAAAAGGTTGAAAATGCAGGTAGGTAAGTGAACTGGACGAGAGTTACTTCATATATACAGTACATCGACCTTGTCTGCATCATTAGGCCTCGCATTAAGTGATCGGCATGAACAATAATTCAGTGCTGAAAAGGACTCTTTTTTGCTTAAAGTGACTATCAGCAACTATGTTATTTGTCCAAGGGTGGGTTGACTACAAAATTTTTGTAGTTCGCTATAACTACAGCTACTTCAAAAATATGTAGTCAGCTACAACTACTGCTACTTTTGAACAAAGGTAGTTCGCTACTGACTACAGCTACTGCTTTAAAAATGTAGCGAACTATTTCGCTATTTCGCTACTCTATATTTTCTAGTTTTACGGTATTTGGAGCATCCACTAGCTCAGGCTGTAATATAACCTATAACAAATCGACTTACAAATAGCTACAGTAAACAAGAAGGGTCAAAGCAACATTTTAATTTGTAAGCACTACAGTATTCAGGAGTGCCACTTTTCATTGCGCTAAAATAATCTTTACTGTGTAAAATAATCTTTTAAGCAAACCGTGTCTTAATATCATTCTATTCTATATGAACGGTTGCTAACAATTTTAAAAAGTAGCGAATAGCGATTTGCTGTTTGAAAAGTAGTCAACTACTTGGCTACTTTTAGGCAAAATGTAGTTCGCTATAACTTATACAACTACTGTTTTAAAAAAGTAGTCAAAAACTACTGGCTACTTGAAAATTGTAGTTCGCTATAGTAGCGAACTACACTGCTTCGCTACTACCCACCCTTGTATTTGTCATTTCAGAATTCAGAAAATCCTGTAGGGTGTCAAATACTCCAGTTAGGGCCACCTAACAGGCCACCAGCTTGTGAAAATTGATTTACCTGGGTGACTTGACAAATCTGATAAAGATTAACCCTTAAAGTGGCAATGCGCCTGGATGTTCCCTAGCTACTATATTATTTTACTATGTCTAAAGCCAGATGATTTTACTCGTCAGGGGCAGAGGCGTAGCCAGGAATTTTGGTCAGCGGGGGGCAGCAAAAACCAAGGTGGGGCCAAAAAAATTTCCGGACCACAACATTTTAAATCACTCCGACCACACCCCCCCCCCCCCCCCCCCCCCCCCCCCTGTCGACACCTTTTTTGGTAAAAAATATTTCCAGATATCACAATTGCTTTCGTAGCACTTTTCCGATTTCCGTATCATTTTTCCGATGCTTCACCACAAAGATTCCGACAACATTGACAATTTTCCGACGCGTCTCAACTTGAAGCTATATA